TTTGCTATTGTAAATAATGTGGCAATAATCATAGAGGTGCGTATGTCTTTTCAAATCAGGGATTTTGTTTTTCTTTAGGTAAATTCCTAGAAGTGGACTTATAGGTTCAAATGGTATTTCTATTTTTAGTTTTCTGAGGAACCTCCATACTGCCTTCCACAAAAGTTGCACCAATTTACATTCCCACCAACAGTTTAGGAGGGTTCCATTTTCTCTACATCCTTGCCAACACTGCTATTTCTTGTGTTTTCAATAGTGGCCATTCTGACTGGTGTGATATCTTACTGTGGTTTTGATTTGCATTCCCCTGATAATTAGCAATGTGGAGGATCTTTCCATGTACCTGTTAGTCATCTGTATTTCTTCGGAAAAGTATCTGTTCAGGTCCTCCACCCATTTTTTTTTTTAATTGGGTTATTTGTTTTTTTTTTTGGTGTTGAGACATAGGAGTTCTTTATATATTTTGAATGTTAACCCCTTATCAGATGAGTCATTTATGAATATATTCTCCCATACTGTAGGATGCCTTTTTGTTCTGCTGATGGTGTCTGTTGATGTACAGAAGCTTTTTAGTTTGATGTAGTCCCACTTGTTCATTTTTTTATTTTGTTTCCTTTGCCTGAGGAGATCTGTCCAGGAAAAAATTGTTCATACTTAAAGTCAAGAGATTTTTGCTTATGTTTTCTTCTAAGAGTTTTATGGTTTCATGTCTTACATTTGAGTTTTTAATCTGTTTTGAGTTTACTTTTATATATGGAGTTAGACAGTAAACCAGTTTCATTCTCTTGAATGTAGCTGTCCAGTTTTCCCAACACCAGTTATTGAAGAGACTTTCTTTTCCCCATTGTATATTCATGGCTCCTTTATTATATATTAATTGATCATATAAGCATGGTTTTATATCTGGGCTCTCTATTCTGTTTCATTGATCTATGGGTGTATTCTTATGCCAGTACCATACTGTTTTTGATTACTGTAGCCTTGTAGTGTATCTTGCAGTCAGAGAGCATAATCCCCCAGCTTTGTTCTTTCTCAGGATTTCTTTGGCTATTTGGGGTCTTTTGTGGTTCATATGAATTTTAGGATTATTTGCTCTAGTTCATTGAAAAATGCCATTGGTATTTTGATAGGTATTGCATTGAATCTGTAAATTGCTTTGGGCAGGATGGCCATTTTGACAATATTAAATCTTCCTCTCTAGGAGCACAGGATAGATTTCCATTTATTTGTGTCCTCTTTAATTTCTTTCAGTAGTGTCTTACAGTTTTCAAAGTAGAGGTCTTTCACTCCTTGGTTAGGTTTATTCCTATGTATTTTATTCTTTGTGATACAATTGTAAATGAAATTGTTTTCCTAATTTCTCTTTCTATTTGTTAGTATATAGGAATGCAACAGATTTCTTTGTATTAATTTTGTATCTTGCAGCTTTGCTGAATCCAGTTATTCAAATAGTTCTTGGTGGAGTCTTAAGGGTTTTTTTATGTATAATATCGTGTAATCTGCAAATAGTGACAGTTTAAATTCTTGCTTACCAATTTGGATGCTTTTTATCTCATTGTGCTGTCTGATTGCCGTGGCTAGGACCTCCAGTACTATGTTGAATAAAAGTGGTAAGAGTGGGCATCCTTGTTCCTGATCTTAGAGGAAAAGCTTTCAGCTTTTCATCACTGTATATGATGTTGGCTGTGGGTTTGTCACATATGGTCTTTGTTATATTGAAGTACATACTGTCTATACGCATTTGGTTGAGAGTTTTTATCATGAATGGATGTTGAATTTTGTCAAATGCTTTTTCAACATGCATGTTTTGTTTCTGCTCTTCTCAGAATCCTTGGTTTATTTAGCTCCATTCAAGGCCTACTTTTTCTCATTCTTCCTTTCCTCACATACTTTCTCCTCACATCTGAAGCTGTTTGCTCTATTTGACAGCTTTCTCTGAGTAAATAACCCATCAACACAAACCCTCTCCTGGAACTCAGGGGTTCTCTGCTGCCACCTTATGATTCTTCTCACCTCAATGCAAACACCCCACCAGGTGCAATCCTCTGCTCCTCTCTTTCCACATCCTCTTCCCAGGATCTCCCAATCCCTGTTAATTCCTCATGATGCAACCAAAGGTTCCACTTGCTTTTGACCAGGTACTGGACTTGGGGCCCTGGGAAAATCACATCTGCTCTCTGAGCCCCAGTTTCCTCATTCATTCCTCACCCTCATTCCCCAGTCAACAAAGACACCTGCAAGTGTTGTGCTGAGCACTGGAGGTGAAAACTTTGATGTGCAAAATAGATTTCAGTCCTGCCCACCACTGAAAAACGGAGCAGAGAATGTCTGTCTGCAAGGGAGGTTGTCAGAATTAACCAGGTGGTTGTACATTGTCAGTGTGTACCTAGGTGCTCAGAAAATATCAACTTTTCTTACTGAAATCTAAGACAGACAAGGGAAGTCCTGACCTTTGTTTTTATCTCAGCCAGAACCTTTGGCTTGTTTTTCTGGCTCTTACCTGAAACCCATTCTTTTCTGTTTTAAACAGATCTTTTCCCTCCCATTCTAATCCAACCTCCTTTCCCATTTTTCCTTTTTCTGTCAAAAGCATAACCATTTCTTCTGAAATCGGTTTGAAAGCTGACTGGGGGGAGGGGCCTCCAACTTTTGTGAGACAAAGCATCCTTTTTACTCTTTCATGCCTGATATCTAGTTCACAGTCCTGAGGAGTCTTCTTTTCCAGAGCCCTTTAATCCTTACTTTCTCCCATTGTTGACTGGGTGATTATCTTTGTTCTAGTCTAAGCGTTTATTACCCCAAGGATAGGGACTGGCTGCTTGTCCTTGTGTCAGTCATGGCAGAAGGAAACAATGACCTCCTTCAGCTAGTTGTTTGATGTATCTGTCTACGTGTGTTTGAAACCTTGGTGTCCTTCAAACTCAAGAATAACTGGAGATTGAGGAAGTTTTGTACAACTCTGCTTTTTTTTTCCCTCTCTCTTAAACTGACATTTAACTTATAAGATCAGCAGTATTTACAGTTTACTTAGTAGGAGCTTTCAGAAAATGTGAGGTTGTGTACACTCTGATTTACAAGTATAACCATATTTTAATATGAATGCTTGATTATAAATGAGATGCAAGATGACATTTGGACTATTAAATGTGAAATTTCTTTTAGTTGTAATTTAAAAATATATGTGATAATTGCCACCAGCCCATTTGCTTTTCTCACCAAAATATATATGTTCTAAATAGAATACAATGGGGAGAAAATGAAGAAAAATGATCCTTTTAAAGTTTAGGTTGGTACCAACTAGAAGTTCTTACTATGTTTTATATGGATTTGGTTTATTTATTTAGTCAGTGGTATCTGCTGAGCTCTGATCATGCAGACTGTGCCCAGTGCTGTGGGCTAAATGGTGAATGTGTCCTACAATGGGATCAGCAAATGGCAGCCTGTTTTTGTATGGTTCACAAACTAAAATGGTTGTTACATGAATATGTAACAGAGAATGTGTTACAGAACAAGAATATGTAACAGAGGCCTATATGTGGCCTGCAAATTTAAAAATATTTATCTGGTTCCTTACAGGAAAAAATTTGTTGACTTTGGATCTACCTATAATATCTCCGCCTTCCTGCAGCTTGTGTTTTAGTAGGAAAGACCAGTAATAAGCAAGGGAACAAATAAACCAGAGAATTAACTTTTAGATTTTGATAACTGATAGGAAGGAAGGAAGGAAGATATGAGAATGACTGGACTGCCGCTGGGGCAAGGGCTGGAGGTTGAAGTGGGATTCTTTGAAAAGGTGACTTTGAGATTAGACCTGAGCAGTGAGTATGACAGCCCTGGGAAGAGCTGGGTTTACTAACCTCTCATCCCCTAGCTCCATCCCCTTTACTTCCAAATGCCTGCTTGTCTACAGAGCTCAGGTAGATTTCCTAGGAAACCTTCTAGAATTCTGTCTTTAGACAGAACCTATCACATGGAATTACTTGTTTTCATTTTCCTTCCACTAAACATAAATTATCTTGAGGGCAAGGACATAGGTCTTTTTAATCATATATCTGTAGCATTTAGCTCATAAACTGGGTTTAACAGTTAAATAGATTTGTAAACTCAAAATTAGGTTCCATCAAATACATTGTGAAAGTCAAGATGTTCCTCTAGCAAAATAGATTCTTAAGTTTAAATCCTATCATTTTTTTGTACACACCCTTCCCACCCCTTCCTCTCTATTCCAAGCACTTTTTCCCTTTTATTTCTAAAACAATTCTTGCCCCACCAAAATTCTTGCCCTTTTTTCTCATGTTGTTAAAAGACACCATCGTCCATCCGGATGATCAAGCTAGGAATTATTTTTGATTCTTCTCATTCCCTAACCCTAGTCTATCACATTGAATCCTTCAGCACCTATCCCTCCCAAGCCAGCTCCTTCTTTCACCTGGACCAGTGTACTTACTGGCTGGTCTTTCTGCTTCCACCCTTACCTTCTGTATGTCCATTATTCATATAGAAGTCAAACAGATCTTTCCAAACTCAAAGTAAAATCCTTTTGTCAGTCCACTTATACTCCAGTGGCAACCCATTGAACTTAGTAGAATTGAACTAAAAATTCTGAACTCATAAGCCCTGCATGAACTGGCCTCTGTCCCTTCAACCTCGTCTCTTCATTGCCCTTAGCTTCTAGCTGCTCTGGCTTCCCCCTTCTCCTTCACAGGACTTCTTATTCCCTGTTGCCTGTTGAATTATTAGGTCGATCTCAGTGTTAATCTAGTCAACTTTGTGAATGTGCAAACTGACACAGTGGCCATTTAGCACAACCACAGTGAAGATTCCTATTCCAAAGTCATCCCCATTCCTGATATTATCATGTTTGTGGTACCAAAATTTCATGATAACAGGCAACTAACTTAATGATAGCTCTAGCTAAGGGCTTTGGGGAAGGAACTGGACAACCTTATTACTTTCTAAGTATATTAACTGTTTTTCTTTTTTTCTCTTTTGCCATGCAGAGTATGAGTTGGAAGTAAAGAGGGTGCAAGACATTCTTTCAGGAATAGAGAAACCACAGGTATGTCTTCTGGATTTCTCAGAATAAATGACACTTTCTTAAGTATTTCAAGGGCGCTTTTTTTTTCACCACATAGTAGGTAAGCAGAAGGGCTTCTCATTGCAGATTATTTATAAATATGAAATAGTGTTGTTATTAATGGAGCATGAAAATATAGGACAGCAGTCTTCTGTTAAGTCATAATCCACTGAAGTGTTCTTTCTTTAGATGTTCTTAATGAAATTAGGTATTCTTCCCAACTTCCAAGGATACATCCCCACCCCACCCCACCCCACCCCCCACTTTATGTCTTCAGAATGGTTTTCTTCCAGTAATTTCCTTTTACTTGCATAAATGTAGAAATAATAATTTTTGAAAACCTCAGTAACCCCAAGTATTTTCCAGGTAAATTTCAAAAAGATTTTTAAATATTAGCTGAGAAAAATAAGACCAAAATATTGAATGTAATGGTAAGAAAAAAATCATTGGTAGGAGAAGTGATATTGTGAGGTTTTAAGTTTGCCAAGTGCTTTGAAACTCAAGTGAAAAAGTCAAAGTGTTGATTCAGCCTTTCATCTGAGATTAGAGTGCCATAAGTTCTTTGGATATTTTCTAACTGAATTGGAAAACCTTGATTCTTCATGTGTTTCAAAAACTGAGGCTTTTCCACCAAAGAGTCCAAACATGCCTCGGGGCACATAGCTGGGTTTGACTCTGTGCCTGAAAGCATGGGGTGTGTGTTGGAGGACGGGCAGTAGGGGTGGTGCTGATGTTGGGTTGGGGAGTATGTACTTAATCTGGTAAGGAGCAGGTTACTATTGATAGTTTTTGAGCAAAGAAGGTTTGTAACCAGGGCTGTACTTTGAGGACGATCCAACAGTTGGCAGATGCCCTGGAGTGAGAACAGGATGGATCCAGAGACACAGGTGCTGCAGTCTGTTCCTGTGGGGCTGGTGAGGGGCTCTCGTGTGGTGTCAGGTATGGGGTGATGGGGCAGGTACCAGACCCCAGAAAGCATCAGTAAGGCATTACAACCTATTACATAATGGGCTCATGGATAACTGGGCTTTCAGGCTTAGATGCTTCCCCAAAGACATCTTCCCTGATTGCTATCCCCATCCATCAAATGGGATACTCCACATAGTATTTAGAATCAGTGGTCCTACTCCAGCTTCACTGTGCCCTAAATATATTTAGTACATTATGTGCCATTTACTCGCTTCTCTGTCTTTTCCAGTACTCTCTGAGTTCCTCTAACATAGGTTCATGTCTGTGTCTTTTTTATACCTTCAGTGCCATTCTTAGATGTAGCATTTGTTTTACTGTTAAGGCATCTAGGAAGATAAATACAGTGGGCAGTACTAGGAGATCAACACTGTGAGGGGAACAAGATATCAGGAAACGCCTGTGTGGAAATCACCATTCTCCTCATAGGCGTAGATGATAACTATAGGGGGAGGGGAGTAGACTGTAGGGAGAGACGAGAAAAGGCTGGAGGGAAGAATTACAGAAAAAACATACATTTATAATGCAGTAGAAAGAAGAAAACTCCATGAAGAAAACAGAGAGTAGTAATCAGAAAGAGAAAGCACAGCGGGTTAGTTGAGTGTCCCAGAGGCAGTCACAAAACTGCATAGATGTATCTCTGTCATGTGTACACACACTGTTTTTCTTGAGTTTTTTCAAGTATATTCTTTGACAGAGTCTGTGTTCCTGAGGATCATGTGCTCTAGCAAAATAAATGTTTAATGCACTGTTCCTTTCTTTGAATCAGCATTTGTTAAACACTCTCTGTACAGTTTTTATAGCAGTGTAGACAGGCTTTGTGTAAACAGTTAAGATGTAATGTGTATTATGGTAAAATTGTCATCTTGAGAGTTCAGAAAGTCCAAAATGGGTCTCACTAGGCTAAAATCGAGGTGTCAGCAGGGCTATATTCCTTTCTGGAGGCTCTGAAGGTGAAGTTTCCTCATCTTTCCCAGCTTCCTCTAGAGGCTGCCTGCATTCCTTGGCTCATGGCCCTTCCATCCTTATATCTCCTTCTCTGACTCTCCTGCCTCCCTCTTTTACCAATAAGGGCCCTTGTGGCTGTATCAGGACCACCTGAATAATCCAGGATAGTCTCTTTCTTCAAGCTCCTCAACTTAATCACATCTGTAGAGTCCTTTTTAACTTGCAGGGTAATGTGTTCACAGGTTTTGGGGATTAGGTTGTGGACAACTTTGGGGGGTTCATTATTTTGTGCATCGCACCACCCCTGCTCCCCACATAAACCTTCTCTACCTGGTGACAGTGTGCTCATCCTCCGCAGCCCAGTTAATTGTTTAGTTTTTCTCCCTTACTTCCTCGGCCTTCCCCTCCTTCCCCATCTCTGCTTGAGGTTCTTATTCATGATTGTGTCTTGCTTTTCTTTGTGCCCTTAATACCTAGTGCAGTCCTTGGCACATCATGAACCCTTAACAAATATTTGCTGAATAAATGTGTAGCAGACGCCAGTGGCTGGAGCTAGGTTCTGGCAGGGGAGACAAATGCCTGAAGATTGGCCAGCATCAGATGCGGCTCTGCCAGCGTGGTGGAATGTGGGGACAGCTGGTGCCAGAGTACAAGGCGGCTGCAGGAAGGGAAAGGCTCGCCTGTGCTTTACAGTCTGGGCCCAGTGTGGCCATTAACCACCTTTGGGACCTTGGCTCAGTTATATAACCTCCCTGAGCCTCAGTTTCCCCATCTTTGAAAGACAGGAAAATAAATGCCCCATGGGGCTCAGAAGTTCACAGGTTGCAGGGATTATGCTGTTTATAGAGCACTTGAGGTATTTCTCTATAGTTTATAGCCTACCATTATCATTATGCAAAAGTGAAATTCCATGCCATGCTTCAAAATGGGAAAGAGAGATGTCCAGCCCCTTTCCAGGGAAAGATGCAGAACTACAGAAATTTGGCCACACAATTGTGTAAAGGTTGGTTAGTCTCAGATTTTTTTTTTTTCTTTTAGCCATTTCTGGTAACACCTTTAAATCAAAGACACATATTTTTCTTCGACGTTTTACAAATGATTTGCTTTAAGTATAGAAACAATATTTAGGAATTATGGATTCCAATCATCTTTCTAGAACTTTGGGCACCCTGAATTAAGCAGGTCATTTACTCTTCAGAAACCCAGATACTATAAAGATCCAAATACTTAGTCATTAAGTAAAACAACAAGCAAATCTAGTAGGTATTTGTCCTGAGACTAAGAATTAGGTGCCTTGGGAACTGCCCTCATAGAGCCACTGCTGCATCAGAAGAATAAGGTTGATAATATTCTATGTGGTTTGGGAATTAACCTCTATTAGTACCCTCCAACCTAACATGGTTTAATCTGCTCTGATGCTGGTGCTAGACCTCCCTCACATGCTGCCAGGCTGTTATTTTCTGGATGTAAATAAATGTAACCTTGTGGTTCTGCATTGTTTCCATGCTTGAATGTTTCACTTGTAGAAACAGTTGACTTGTCGGTTCCAGAAGTGAGTAAACTGGCCTAGAAGAACAAGTAGCCCTACAAGAAGCAATTCCCTAAAAGATCAACAACAGTATCTGGAAACAGATTTGAGGTTCTTAGCAGTTAAGGAACCAGAGATGATTGTTTAGTTATCCTTTGTCTTCAAATAATGATGTATTTGGTCTTTTTTTTTTTTTTAATTTTCCTTCATGTTATTTTTTTCATGATGGTACTTTTGAGTTGAAGCCAATACTTATGTGGCAGTGTGTCCTTAACATAACTCCCTAATTGGATCAGCAGGCCTCCCACGTAGTTAAATCCAAAACATGACCAAATTTAGAAGCTACGAACTTACAGAGAAATATTTTTGAATGTGGGAGTAACAATTTAGTAACTTTATGAGAATAAATAGTGTTTCTAATCCAAATCATAAACATCATTTGCATATAATATGGTCTAAGAATTAAGATAGTAAAATTTGCAGAATAGTTTTAAAATACTGAAATGAATAGGAGAGAAGGGGACAAGGAGAAAAAGCTAAGGATTGCATATCAAATAGCTTACAAGTTAAGGTAGTCTTATTTTTTTATGTGTATAACTTATTGCTTCTTTTAACTAGCAACTGTCCTTGAGTTGGAGTCTATTTAATAAATATACAGACAAGAATGGTTTCTAATCAGTATGTATTGATTTAAAAAGTAGATGATGGTTTTGTGAGTCCTTCAAGATACTTAAAAGCAGTTTGATTTCAATGCAACCTTAACACTAGTAACTTACTCAACAGCCCTTTCACATCATGAGTGCCAAAACAAATGTCAAGTTGGGTCTTTTCCAATAATTTTGTAACTAAAAATCACCACTTTCGTCACCATTACAAAGGAGATTGACATCTGTTTATAGTAGAACACGTAAACATCAGGAAGCCAATTAGTTCTATGGCTTCTAAACTTCTGTTTTTGGCTAACAGCCATGGCGGTCATTGTGATGATCAGATTAGCCTGCCCAGTTCAGCTCAGTGGTCACGCTGGGCAGACAGCTTCACCACGGAGAGGGAGCTTGTAAGGTGAAACTCTTGTAAGAGCACTGCAGCTCCGAAATAGGCTTGAACCCAACCAGAATTCTTCATGTCCCCAATCTGTCTTTAAGGCTGTCACCTTCCTGGGTACTTGGAATGCATCTGGTGCTGAGGATTCCTCTTTACATGACATTCTCTTGAAAGGCACCAAGTCACTTCCTGGTGTGGTCCTTGAAATGGAAGTGAGTTCCCAGTTCTGACAGAGACAAAGCACTCTTTCTCTAAGGATTCCAATCCCCAAAGAAAGAAACCAGAGGCCCAGGTGACAGGGAAAGGGAAAGGGAGGGAGCAGGAGCACAGAAGGGGGTTGGCCCGAGAAGGGTAGTGATAATCTGGGTGGCAGGCTGCCTCAGCTCAGGGAAAGAATTCCCAGCTCCCGCTGTCCTTTCAAAATGATGCTCAGTTCTCCAAGCTCATTCTGGTAGTCCAGCCTATCCGCAGACGACGTTAGTACAGAGATCTGTGTTCCTATGGTAGTTTGCCTCCATAAGGCTTGCTCTGGGAATCTAGGGGAGTGGTGAACATTATTTTAGTTAATTCTTTAAGTGTTGTACATCATTGTTAAGTAATAACTTAAGTCCTACAGGAAAAGAACAAATTCTTAACAGCTAATGAAAAAGATAGAATTTTAAGGGATGTGAGTTTATGGATACTTGTTCAGTATCTAAAGTGCTAGCATTTGACTGAGCTATTTTGAGACGCGAGTTATTTCACACCACCATTCATAGAATCAGTGTTACTACACTATGTACTTGGAATTCTGCAAAGCAGCCATTTATCACCTCACTTGAAAGTTTCCCAGCACCAGCTCATACTCCTTTTTAATTATAAGCTGAACTCTTCATAGCAAAACATCTCATAAGTTAAAAATCATATATAATACCCAATATCTCAAGATTACTCATTGTGTGTGAAGAAATTCAGCAAATACATGGTGTAATACATGGTAGAAATGCTGCCTTAAAATGCAACAAATACATGGCAAAATGCTGCCTTAAAATGTAGTTAAAACAACATGCAGATAACCAGGTAAAGCAGAGAGTAATGAAATGAGTGCCAAATATAGGTACCAGCAAAATATGTCCAGAGCACAAAGAAATAATGATTGATTCTGAGCAGAGGATCAGGCAGGAACATAAAGAAACCATTCGTGAATTGGTCTCAAGCCACTGCAGGTCCCTCTGTGCCCTGTATGTCTGCCACGAGGCCCCTCACACACCTCTCTCTCCACCAGGTTGGTGCTGCTTGAGGCAGAGATCATATCTTAAACATCTTTGTGTGGACAGCCCCTCACTGGGTGAAGAATGATGAATAAATGAATAAGCCAAGACAGCATTTGAACTGGCTCTAAAAGAAGTTCGTTTAAGCCAAGAAAGCAGGAAAAGTCAGAAGCTAAATCACAGGGGAGAGAGGGCACAGTATCCCAAAAGGGTGTTAGAGCACAAGGCGGGTACGGCAGAGGAGGAGCTGCCAGTCAGGAGCCATAGCAAAAAGGAAAGACTTTGATTGTATAACAGTCTCTCCTCAGATATTTTAAAGAGGTGTGTAATGCTAGTCTGCTATCCACTGTGTCACCTGTTATCAGCTCAGACTATCTTATTCCCTTTGATTTTTATTTTTCATTCAATAAACATTTACTCACAGTTAAATATGACTTAGGCCCTGCCCTTTGGGAGTCCTGAGGTCCCATATGGAAGGAAGGTAGACAAATTCCATAAACATGATTCACAGTGGTAGCCATGCCAGCAAAGCGCTGTAGAACGGAGGCATGAAGATGGGTCAGATACTTCAGGGAAGCCTGCTTGAGGATAGTGAGGCCCAGCTGGGGTCTTGAAGGATGAGTAGACATTTGATTAGATTGGTTAAATATATCCAGATGCTCTATCTATTTGGAACAGACATGGTATGGAGGGATCTCTCCTAAAAATGGAATGAATGACAGACTGTAAAGGGATTCTCAGTACTCATTTTCCATGTTGATTATTCATACTTTTAAATTATTTTATATTAAATTTTAATACTCTTTCTATAGATCAGATAGTAAGAAAAATGGAAGAAAAAAGAGACTATAATTTATGTATCTCCATCCACAGCCTAATAACTTACAGCTGTAAAGCTTTAATAAACATTAAGCTTTTAACATGTTATTGTCTTAATTTGTTTGGAATATATTATCCAGACCAATATCCAAAATAGCCTTTAGAAAATTAGAATATCAAAATTGTATTGATGAATTTAAAGAATTGGATGAGACAAGACATTAGGTTGGGTTTCTCCAGAAACAGATTCTGAAACAAAGCTTGGAGTACAAATAGTGTATATGGGGAGGTGCCCCAGGAAGCACCAGCTGGAGTGGGGACCTGGGGTGGGAGGTCCAGAAGCCCAGTGCAGGGTCTGTTAATGAGCAGCTTACGACTGTGGGCAGGCAGGTCAGCTGGCTGACAGTGTGGAACATGGGGTCTGCATAAGGGGAGAAAGGGGTGTTTAGATTCCCAGGGGCCTTAGTTCAAATGAAGTCTCACACGGAAGCTAAACCAATGAGGTAAAAGCAAAGTGAAGAGGTAGAAATCTCAACGTCTGCACATGTTTCTGTGCCAGGTCTGCCTGGGCCTTGGCTCCACACCCCTTCATTGGGCTCTCCTGGGAACCTGCAGGCCTTCAAGGAGCATGGTTTGAAAAGTGTTGGCTTTGAAGGCTTGGAGACCACCAGAAAGTACCTGTGGATATGGCTCCTTCCATATAATATGACAGCCATCTTGGAGATACTGAAGATTCACATTCAACTTTTTACCTTTAAAAAAAAATTCCTAAACAAGACTGTATCATTTTACTTTCTGGAGTATTGAATATAAATCGCATTAAAGGACAGATATTTCAGGAGCTATGTTGGCCATCAGAACCTGGACAAGAGGCCACCATGTAGGCTTTTTTGTCGTCGTGGTTAAAATTGCTCACCTTGCATTGACAGCCAGTTTTATACCTCTTCTAATAACCACTAAAATGTTATTAGAAGAAAGAGGTACTGTCTGATGCATGTGAAATGGATTTGAATACTTTTGTCTATGTTTTTCTTTCTCAGGTTTCTAATATTCAGGCAAGAGCAGTTGTGTTGTCCTGGGCTCCCCCTGTTGGACTTCCGTGTGGACCCCACAGCGGTCTTTCCTTCCCCTACAGTTATGAGGTTGCGCTTTCAGACAAAGGACGAGATGGAAAATATAAGATAATTTACAGGTAGTGTGTATTTCTGTGGGTTTTTCTCTTCTGCTGAACTGTGAAATTGGAGTCATTTAGGAAAATAAAAAATAAAGGAAAAAATTATTAAAGGCTTTGCAAACTTTGCTTTAAGTAGTTCATTTCAAGAATTAGTGATATTATAATGTCGAATTATTTTTGTCCAGAGTAATTGTCAGTCAGAAATGACTTTTAAGACCTGTTTGGTGTTGGTTGGTGAAATATATCACGTGGTTATGTTAACTTGTCAGTGTAGTATGAAAGAAAAATGTCCATCAGTGTCAATTAGGGCTAAAAGCAGGTATGGCTTTCAGTTTGTACACATATCATGCACTCATATGACTTCTTTTTAGACCCAGACTTTTCTCCAGTCTTGTTTTTTTTTTTAATTTTATAATATTCTCCTTCCATTTGACCCTACTTATCCTCTAGAATAGTTTTCTAGCCTGTAGTAAAGATTAAAGCATTTCATTCTGAGGCTTTCTTAAATGGTCGGAATGTAGCACACGGCAAATGATTGACCCCATGTACTTATGAACTCCTGGATATTAACCATTCCAGTGATTTATAGCTGTGTCTAATGTGATTTTTTTTAAAAATTCTAGGCAGGAGCTACTGCCTCAGGTTGCTCAGAGGGGCCAGGCAGGTAACAGAAGTGAGAAGGGCGGAGGGCTCGGAGTGATGGGGGAGGTGCACTCCCGTCTTCCTCCGAAGGCAGAGGCTTCCACTCACCTCATATAGGTTGTTCTGCCTTAATGTGAACCTAGATTTGCTGGTTGGATTTTTTTTTTTTTTTCCAAGAAATGCTGTAAACTAAATATTCATGTAAACTTTTGTAACGTTAACCTAATTTAGTAAATTCAAAAACCTAAATACAGTGCAGGTCAAACCACAGAGCGGTAGGCAAGTTGTGGATGTTGACCTCCAGTTTGCAACTTTAAAAAAGTATTTTTTTTAATAACTTCAAACTCACAGAATGTTGCAAAAATAAAGAGATCAAGGAATATGTGTATACCCTTTACCTAGATTCACCTATTAACTCTCAACCCTATTTGTTGTACTGTTAGAGTTATTCTCTCTCCCCCTTTTTCTCTCCTCTTAATCTATATTTTTTCCCACTAATGTTATGTATTGTGGCTCTTTACCACTGAATGCTTCAGTAGATTTACTAAGAATAAGGATATTTTCTTAAGTAGCCATACTGTAGTTACCAGCTTCATAAATTTACATTGATTAAATACTTTTGTATAATCCATAATCCATATCTAGTTTTGTCAATTGATTAATATCTGCTAGAGGATTTTTCTTCCCCTCTAGGACAAGACCCTGTCTAGGGTCAGATATTGCAATTAGTTGTTATTTCTCTTACCTTTTACTTGGAACACTTCCACAGTATTTCTTTGTCTTTTATGATACTGACACTTTTGAAGATACCATCATGCCCACACACACTTCTCTTACCTCTTACCTTTGTGTATAATTTTTAATGAACTGTACCTAATGTCATGTTGTTTCCTCATGATTAATTTGAGGTTCAGTTGCAACTTCTGAACCCATAAATGGTTGTATTGTATGTGAGAGGCTATTTATTGGTGTATATGTATATATACTTTCCAAAGGTTATATATATAGGAAATGTTTATTAATATTAATATATGAGTGAAGCAGACTGAGAATTCTTCAAGGGAGTTGAGAAGTTGAAGTAGTTAGTGTTCCTTCCAAGGTGAGTCTGGAAGTTACCTTCAGTTGACAGCTGGTACAGTTATTTACACTTTTATCTTTCTATTTAATTTGCTTGTTTACTCATTTGCTTGTTTACTTTTATGTAATTACTTTGAAGAAGTGATAAGACCTTTAGGGATTTTACTTTGAAGTTTAACTTGCCATTTTCCAGATCTAGGATGGTTTCACTAAAAGGAGTCTAGTTTTATAGTCTAGAAAGATAATAATACCAAAAGAAAGCTTATTTATGATTTGTGATGCAATCACACATAATGATTCTTGAGTCATTGTTGGTACATGACTATGACACCCAAATCCAAAACCTGTTTTACTTTTGAATCGAGTATCATTGACTAATAATGGTTTCTTTACAGTGGAGAAGAATTAGAGTGTAACCTGAAAGATCTTAGACCAGCAACTGATTATCATGTAAGGTGAGTTAGGATACAAAAGCTGAACTATGTGGGAGAGTTCAGATTGCTAAAATAATTTAAGTTTTCAGTTAGCGGCACTGTCTAAATAAAAGCGTATTAGTGTCATGCCCTTGAGAGTATTGATGAGAGTGTGTACACAGAAGTGCTTCTGGAAGTAGAAAGGCAGATGATACAGTGAACAGAATTCAAAGATTATTTTTTTAAGTAATTTTTATTTTATATAATATTACAAAATCTACTGACTGTGTGATTTTATATGTATTTTCTCTCTAAAAAAACAACTGAAATTTGTTACCACAAGTGTATCAGTTGTTTATTATAGGCCATATGGATACTCTATATTCAGCCCAAATGGCTCAGTCCTTCCCATATTGCAAGAACACCTTTGAGCCTTAGAAGACTGTAGATTTTGTGATGCAATTATCAAATTATTTCTGACAAGATTAACACAGTTTGGTAAAACAATGAACTGTGTAGTCTTATATGTAGTCTAAAAATCTCTACTCTGGCCTTTCTGGAATCTCTACCACGTGACTCCTCTGAAAGCAGGGCTTGCTAACCTTAGGGAGAAACCCTGCCAACCACCGACCTGTAAAGAGGAAAGTATTATAGGAATTTTTACCAAGCTCATCTGATTATTTAAAGATAGATCCATACATCCATTTTTAAATAGGCAGATTTCTGAATGTGGGCCATTACATTTAGAATTTTTAATTACATAAGATTTTATTTCATTTCATTCCAGAAATGTTGACCAGAAATTGTAATTTTATCTGACAGCATCCACAAGTTATGTATGTGCATCTCATGATTGTATAAAATAATTGCAACCATCAAGTACACATCTTTCAGTATACTTTCCAAAGGTTAATTCACACTGCCTGTTCCTTTGTAGTGGATTCAAGGCAGGGTAGCCAAATAGAAAGAACATGTATTACTTACCAGGAGCCTTGAATTCTAGTCAGGTTCTGTCATGAATTAACTGTTTTAGCTTCAGTTCATCACATAGAATCTGTGCCACAATGTTCTTGGTAACCAAGTTAGGAAAGTAGGGATGTGTTCAGGTATATCTTATTAGGTGCACGAGTGTTTAAAAATAAGTTTGAAGCAATACATAAAAGAACAAGGTGTTTTATATTCCGTCATAAAGTGCACACATCTGCTTAGCTATTGAATTATTTAGGTGAACTCTTGCAACCATCTCTTCCTGCTTAAAAGAGAACTCGGATTTTGAGTCAGTGAGCTTCAGCCCAAACTTACTGAACTTTGCATACAGTCTGTACAAATAAAAAGATTTGTATAATTTGTGAAGCTGAGATGATAATAGAAATGATTTAATCTGTTTCTACATTAGTCATTGGTAAGATGTTTCCTTTTTTTCCCCTTTTAATAGTTTGTTACTGCTTTACTAAAGGTTTGTTTTATTAATTTCTTGCTCATTCATGAGCTGACAGTATGTTTTTTAAGAAATGTAAATGTCATAAAAAGTTGCCCTTTGTTTACCACCTTGTCTGTTTTTTCCCTTTTCTTTTTAACCTCTTCTACAAAGGGTAAAGTTTGAGAACACTTGCTCATCAATTCTTTTTACTGTCATGTCTTTTGAACACCTTGCACTTCTGGGCAGATAAAAGGAAGAACTAATGGATACCCAAAAAGGACTAGGCACATGAGGGTGGTTAACATCCAGAGGCCTTGGATCTAGACCCTCTCCTGACACATCTGGGACTCTATACTTGTGACTTATGTGACACATATCAGATTAAGGCACCACCAACTATTGTTTGGTCTAGCTCTCTGCTTGCCAGAGAAAAAAAATTCTTGGTCATAATCTCTTGTAGTTACTTAAAAAAATTCCTAATAAATCATCTACCGTCCAAATTTTACCCTTTTACCCTTCCTAGGTCACACAGTCCATATAGTTCATTCATTCTCTTTCCTTTTACAATTTTTCATTTTTCAAGCTAAAGAAGAATCTTAACGCTTCCTAGTCCTATTTGGATTTAGCTTCCTCTGCCTTGAATTGCTCTGGTGAGGCAACTTGATACATAGTAGAGAGAGCTTGGAGTTTGGAGTCAATGGCTCCATCACTTCTAAGAATGTGTGCTTAGGCAAGCCATTTAAACCTCAATGGCCTTCTTTTCTTACTTAGAAAACGAGCATAGTAATACCAGCCTCCAAAAGATGGTGTGACAGCAGTTGAAATATATGTGCAAATCTGCTGCTGTAAACCTGTAAAATGTACAAATGTTGTTTTGTTTTCCAAAGTTGTTACAGTGTTTCCACACTCTAAAAATAAAAAGGACTTCATGAGGCAGGTTCTTTGAACCTGTGTGTAGTCTGACTTTATCACTCACTGTTTTATTGGGATAAAGATTTATCATACTTGGCTTTGAAAAATAGGAGCAAAATCTCTTTTTACAATGCAGTTAACATTCCCAAAGTCTTAGTTCTAGGAATTTAAGCTTTTATCAAACACAGCAACCTCAAATATAATTTTAAATTTAATAATCACCTATAAGACCTCAAAAGGCTATGTGGAAATAATTTCCTTAGAATATTTCAAAAATAGAAGCAACAAAAAATTCCATTACTGTGCAGCTGCAAAGTGAGTGATTATATTCATTGCCATTTTTATTTATTTGTGCATTACCAATTTCGAAAATGTATCCCTAGAGGAAGTCCATAGAACCCAATGATGAAAACCAAGATATTTCTTTTTGCAGCGCCAAACAGGCTACATGTGCCTTCCAGTTTTTAATATTGCATGAAGGCCTGCCTATAGAAGTCTCTGTTCAGTCACCCGGCAGTAGTGTATACTTCAAATCATATACTGAAGTCTCATCTGGGGCTTCTTCCCTTACATTCTTAGTCGCTTTTGATTTTGCTACTCTGATTCCATCTCCTTCACTCTTGATTGTTCCATATCTTTATAGAATTTTTTTTCTCATTTTGAACTTCTTCCTCTCTCATGTTAGTGAATATTGGCTCAGTTCACCAATAAGATATACAAACCTTTTGTTTTTTTTTAAGTAGCAGCCTCTCAGTCATGGAGTCATGTCATTGAACTGTCTGGTGCTTGGCATCAGTTCCTGGCAAGAATAGTTCTTGACTCTCTCTCACCATATCCTCTCTAATAGTCATAATAATTTATTAAGAGACCAGTGGCATTCTTAAGACAGTACTACAGGTCATGTGTCTGATTGGCACTTGCTATTCTATTTAGGCCAAATTCTATATGGAAAATTGTATTTGAGACATTTCAGGTTTTAAAGCCTTTTTCCTTCTCACTTTTTGCTATGAATTTTTGTGTGGCATTGCTACACGTCTGTTCAGCCATTTTTTTTCACCTGGTAATTGAGCAAAGTAATGCTCCTCTATTATGTTGATTTGAAAATTTTATGTTTATCTTGGTTAGATTTTTATTAAAGTTATCACCTTTATACTTGTTATGCAGTTCTTACACAGATTGCCTTTTCTGATTTAATTTTGGTTGAATATTTAAAAGGAATCAATTTGTAATTGTCAAAGCATATTTATTCAGTGCTTCCCATATAGGATATTGTGTTACGTGTTGTCTGAAGCCATTAATACAAAAATCTATGGCAGGGTTGGTGTGTGTATGTGTGTGTGTGTGATTGTATGTTGGAAGAGGAAGAAACAATCCAATACATATACAAAATACACATTAAATACATATAATTGTAAGTTTTTAAGTTTACATACATAAACATTTATGTATATTCACTTGTTTATAAATATACAAAGAAAATCGCATTCCCTTTTTGTAGCTTTATAATTAGTAATACTTATATATATATATAATCATAATCAATAATGACATTTAAATAACTATTTGACTGTGGGAGTACAGAGTTCGTATTTTTGTCAATGATAGGATAATCAGGAATTTGAGTGATGGAATGGATAGCAGTTTCATGATAAAATTTGAAGCAGTTTTCAGCCATTGGCATAAACAGTTTGGCAGAGAAGTTGCCCAGCTATGATATCATGTAATAACATTTCCCAGAAAAATTATATATGAAACATTTCCAAAACCCTGATTGACCGGCTCAGTGCAGTTATGAAATAGGTGTCATTGACTAGCAATTGTGGGTTGGAGTATGTTTCAGATGTGCTGGAGCAAGTTGGAGGCAGATTTCTGAAATTCTGAGAGCACCTGTTTCATAAGCTTTAGTATTTAAACTGAAACAAATGTGAAAACCCAACACAAGATTAATTATATCATTAGAAAAATATTCTTCACTGGGATAAGTGCAAAAGGAACTGAACTGTTTGCTGATTTTATTTAACCTAAGAAACTGATCCTACTCCACAGATCCTCCTATCACATGATGATATTTAGAGAAAACACTTCACCATCATGTGAAAAATATTATTGCAGCATTCTTGAAAATATAGCATCATTTCCAGAGACTTTTCTGTAAGTTACTGATAAAAACAACTGGCTGTTATTACAGTTAATTGCTATCTGTTTACTGAACAATTTTAATTGACAGATGTAATCATGAAATACTTTGATACCATGTCAAGTTTCTGTTACTGTATGCAGCCCATTTATATAATGAATACACATGAATAAATTTGTATTCATAAAATGAATCTTGTTTGCATTTTGGACAGACTTTTTCAAGTGCAAACCATTGACTCCTAAATTTAAATAAACTAAGACATTCTTTCAGTTTAAAGACAAGGAAAATAACTCCTTCGGGCCCATGCAACTCTCCATCTTCAAATACCTAAAATGTTTGCTTCTGCCCTCGGGCTCTTCTATTCCTACTGCCGTCTTCCCACCCTGCCTGCAGGAACCCCCATCACTCAGGTCTCTCTAGCCTCAGTAAGTATGGATTGGTGACTCTGAGAATCTCGTTAAAGAGAAGAACAAGCCTGACTGAACCCAGGCCTTGCCTAAATGCAGTCTGCTGGTTCTTGTGGGCCCCCTCCCTGCCTCTCTGCCTCTGCTCTGTTACCCACATTGATTTTTGCCAACTGTTCTTTTGTGAACATTTATGGCCTGGTCTACCTGAGCATAAATACCTAGTGGTTGCAAAATGAGCTGTCTCCTGGCAACTTAAGTAGGTAAAGAGTACTGGGTAAAAGGAACTGAAGAGCAATCTCAGAGCCAGAAGCAGTAGTGAGTGGTGAGGCATTGACCGCTCCATCCCCAGGGGGAGCTGCTCCCAGCTTTATGAGATTGCCATCAGGCACCCACAGAGCTTGGTGTTGCTGGAACTGGTAGTTTTTAAGAGAAGCCAGAGGTTCATTTTTTTTTAAATGAGAGAGCTCCTGAGTTTTTCAGCATTGGCCTAATTTTTAACTTTTTATTTCAGAAAATTTCAGATATAGTCAAAAGTGAACAGTACCTTGATGCCTTCTCATATACCCATCACCCACCTTCTTTTCTCCTTGGTGCCCTCACCTGTCCCTTCTCTCCACAGTTATTTGGAAGTGAAGTCCAAACATCACATTATTTCACCTGTGAACCACATTACCATCATCACATGCCCACCCAAAATAAACAAAAATGATAAATTTCTTAATGTCTTTAAAACCCAGAGACTATTTCCATTTCCTCAAAATGAAGGTTTTTAGTTTCTTATGATTGGAATTCAAACATGGTATGAATATTCTGTTTGACTGATACCTCTTAAATTTCTTTTACTCTGTAGGATTTCCCTCCTCTTTTTTTCTCCCCTTGCAGTGTTTCTGTTGGAATAATTCTTTTTTCTCCTGTACAGTTTTCCTCAGTGTGTAGTTAGTCTGATTGCATCCCTGTAGCGTTGCTTAATATGTTCTGTGTTTCTTATAAAGTGGTAAAGAGGCTTAATCAGATACACATTCATTTTTTTCTAACAAGGATTTTATAGATGGTGGTAGACTTTCATTACGAGTACATAATGTCTGCTTATCTCTTGTTGTGGTGATCATTGCCTGTGTCCTTTCATTCATAGGTGGCTGCAATATTTTAAGAAACTATATTCCTTTCCTCCCCCACCCCACACATATCTTGGGACAAATGCAACCCATGAGCCACCAGTTGGAGAACTCAACTATACATGCTGGAACCCTGCCCATGTCCAGAATGCTCCATGATTCATTTTAAGTATCTTACCCCCCAGTGAGCTTGTCCTGATACATAGAAATGATCTTGCCAGATCTGTCATTCAGTGTTATATTATCATGTGCCTACTTACGGTGAATGCAAAAAGGAGCCTTTCTTTTATCAGGTTGGGGAAGAGCAGTCTAACAATAAACAACAACCTTTGTTTGGATTAAATGTCATGGTATCTTTCCATAAGGCAAAGAAGTCAAATCTCCAGTAAATGTGTATTTTACATTTTAGGATGGAAGTAAGCACATCTCTTAGTACTGCTGACTTGCGTGGTCTCTAAATTTTTTGTGATGGACTTTGAGGAGAAAGGACTTTGCAAATCACATGTCTAATTAGGTCCTATTTCCCATAATGTTATCTTTAGCTGTTGTGTGTGTTCATTGGGTAGAGTGAGGGGAAATGGATTGTGGGTGTAAGGGAAACGTATTGCAGGATGAGTAAGGACAGTAGGCAATACAGTGTAGCAGTTGGAGTTACAAACTGAGTATAACATAGTTGATCCAAATTTCTAGCTGGTTAGTTTTGGGAAATTTACTTCATCTCTCTAGTCTGAGTTTTCTTCCATCTTTAATGGGACCTCATAAAGGGTTTTACAAGAATTAAGTACTTACCAACTCTGAACGACTTAATCCTTGCATCTTTTTTAGGCAGTGAAGGTTTCTTTATTGTCTTTTTAGAATAGTTTGCTTTGAAATATTTTTTTTAAATGGAAAAGTACAAGGAAAGATGATAAAATCAACATAATCCTATTTTATGCTATTTGAAAGGAGTGTAGTTTCATAATAGCACATTATGTGCTTTTTCTTCACAGCTTCTCTGGAGAAATTGGGCCCATATGTTCAGTGTTAAGCGAAGCATCTTAACGTTCAGAATGCATGTTTTTAATCTTGGTGCCAGGTGCACGAGTTAAATGTTCACATGGATAAACTGTACCTGAGCATAGTTTCTGTTGAATTAGCGATGCACTTGGCAGTAGCAAGTGTATTTCTATGTGTGAAACATCCATATCTCTACCTAAATATATAAACATTTCAGGGATGGTATCTACCCTGTTGTTTGTACCTGTCTTGTCTCTCCAGTTTGTGGACTTACACTATGTCCTGTTCCCTTTTCACCCAGCCCTTAACTCTACTGTTAGCCTTTTTCCAGACAAAGTCAACCAGAGAGTGGCATAGATTTTAGAATATATATTTGGAGACCATTTTGGGGATCAAGGATATTTTCTTATTAAGCATATTTATTTCCAGTCAGTGCACCTTGCCTGTCTTACTTAAATGGGGCTGGGTGGTTTTGACAGTTCTTAGCAGGGGAAAGAACGCATCACTGTTGCGATAGTTGTCCCCTGAAAATACTGACCATAGTTTTAGGTCAGGACAAGACCAATAGATAGGAACAAGAGCCATGGTGTGTACTACATAAGACGTTTGGGGCCTATATGGAAAGCCCTGGGGCAAAGCTGAGATCAAAACCCTAGTCTTCTTTGATGGGCCACTGCCACTGACTGTGTTCATCTGTTTTCAGGGTCTATGCCATGTACAATTCCGTAAAGGGATCCTGCTCCGAGCCAGTTAGCTTCACCACCCACAGCTGCGCACCCGAGTGTCCCTTCCCACCTAAGCTGGCGCACAGGAGCAAAAGTTCACTAACTTTGCAATGGAAGGTGGGTAGCTCAAAGTGCAAGGAGTAGTCTGAAGTTATAGCCACTTGAAACGTTTATTTAGCACTATACCAGTTTGGTGATGGTGTTTGGTGTTCTACCTAGTAGCTCTGTGAAACAAATAATCATGTTATCAAAAGTTGCCATGTCTGTAAAAACTGGGCAGAGGGGTGGGAGAGGGAACTACAAGATCAAGATTTAGCTCTTTTTGCAAGGTATTTGGTAAATCTAGGATCATGAGCAATACTTTGTAATTACTTTAAGATACCTAGATTTCATCACTTTCTAATGGTTTAATTCATTTCAACAAACACTTGAGGACTTTAGTAAAAAGTTTTGTGAAGAAAGCACATTTATGGCTCCATTGGCTTTTTTCAGTCTTGACTCTGAAATGTGTAATGTTTAAAACTGCCTAGAAAGTTGAGTGTTCTAAGCTACATTAAGACTTCATTAATTTTTACTAATTAGTCCTTAGGTCAGTTAGGATTACTAATTATTTTAAAGTCTGAATTATACAGTAGTTTTCATGAAATACAATTTACTGGCTGTAAATAACTCTCGCCAAAGAGAGGTCCTTAAGGTTTATCATGAGCTTATTTTAATCATAGTTGTATGTTTACAAGAAAATAGTAGATTATTTTATCAGTCTCTTGGTATTTATTTCTATATGTTTACATTTTAAATAGTTTAAAATGTAAAATTTGTAGAGGTAGAGATAATAAAGATTTAGGGTGTTCAGGGAGAACACTCATGTGTGAAAGAAATAAGATAGCTAGGGAGATCCATTACTGGTTAAGAAATATTTTGTCCTGTTGTTCCTAGACCAGAGGGCTACATCTATCTAGGGAGTTGATAAAAGCAATTGAGAGTAGTGGTTAGTGCAGACCATGGGTTTCTATAGGCCCCTGTCATGTGGGCAGCTGTAATCTCAGAGCCATTGGCCAACTTGCAGGTGTGTTGTTTGGACAAAGGCAAAGTTTAAACTGGCTTAGAATCTGAACTATTTTATTTTCCTTCCTGGCTTCCAGGGATAATCCAGGTCAGTGATTCCCTACCTTTTCAATAGATAGGAACAAGAGCCATGGTGTGTACTACATAAGACGTTTGGGGCCTATATGGAAAGCCCTGGGGCAAAGCTGAGATCAAAACCCTAGTCTTCTTTGATGGGCCACTGCCACTGACTGTGTTCATCTGTTTTCAGGGTCTATGCCATGTACAATTCCGTAAAGGGATCCTGCTCCGAGCCAGTTAGCTTCACCACCCACAGCTGCGCACCCGAGTGTCCCTTCCCACCTAAGCTGGCGCACAGGAGCAAAAGTTCACTAACTTTGCAATGGAAGGTGGGTAGCTCAAAGTGCAAGGAGTAGTCTGAAGTTATAGCCACTTGAAACGTTTATTTAGCACTATACCAGTTTGGTGATGGTGTTTGGTGTTCTACCTAGTAGCTCTGTGAAACAAATAATCATGTTATCAAAAGTTGCCATGTCTGTAAAAACTGGGCAGAGGGGTGGGAGAGGGAACTACAAGATCAAGATTTAGCTCTTTTTGCAAGGTATTTGGTAAATCTAGGATCATGAGCAATACTTTGTAATTACTTTAAGATACCTAGATTTCATCACTTTCTAATGGTTTAATTCATTTCAACAAACACTTGAGGACTTTAGTAAAAAGTTTTGTGAAGAAAGCACATTTATGGCTCCATTGGCTTTTTTCAGTCTTGACTCTGAAATGTGTAATGTTTAAAACTGCCTAGAAAGTTGAGTGTTCTAAGCTACATTAAGACTTCATTAATTTTTACTAATTAGTCCTTAGGTCAGTTAGGATTACTAATTATTTTAAAGTCTGAATTATACAGTAGTTTTCATGAAATACAATTTACTGGCTGTAAATAACTCTCGCCAAAGAGAGGTCCTTAAGGTTTATCATGAGCTTATTTTAATCATAGTTGTATGTTTACAAGAAAATAGTAGATTATTTTATCAGTCTCTTGGTATTTATTTCTATATGTTTACATTTTAAATAGTTTAAAATGTAAAATTTGTAGAGGTAGAGATAATAAAGATTTAGGGTGTTCAGGGAGAACACTCATGTGTGAAAGAAATAAGATAGCTAGGGAGATCCATTACTGGTTAAGAAATATTTTGTCCTGTTGTTCCTAGACCAGAGGGCTACATCTATCTAGGGAGTTGATAAAAGCAATTGAGAGTAGTGGTTAGTGCAGACCATGGGTTTCTATAGGCCCCTGTCATGTGGGCAGCTGTAATCTCAGAGCCATTGGCCAACTTGCAGGTGTGTTGTTTGGACAAAGGCAAAGTTTAAACTGGCTTAGAATCTGAACTATTTTATTTTCCTTCCTGGCTTCCAGGGATAATCCAGGTCAGTGATTCCCTACCTTTTCAGAGTTTTAACACCCAACTGGCATTGCTGTTGAACTCCTTGGAACATATATATCCATTTTAAAATGTGTTTCTATATTTCCATGTAAATATGTCTTAAGGAAAGAATTAAAATCCATTTTGTTTGGAAAATATGAGAAATCTTAATATTACCAGAGGGACCCCGGGGTCTTATAAACCTAAAGTTGGGAATCACTGATACATACTCTGCTTAAAACCTGGATGAAATTCAGGTCTTAGGCAGAACAGCCACTTCAGGGAAAGTTTTCTTATTAGGAAGAAAATGTGTCATTTTTCTTCTCTCTTTATTTAATTGTAGATCAGAAACATACTCTTGTTCCATTCCATAAGATACAGACTTGAAAGTTCTGGATGCAGTTCAGTTTACATTTAAATGTCCTTAGGACAGATTTCCTGATCCCAGTTCTCCAGCTGGGGGCATGAGGACAGGGGGGACCAGCTCTGCCTAACCAACTGGCCTTGGATCCTCAAAGACACAGAGGGCCCGAGATCTAACAGCCAGCCTTGTTTTGTCAGTCAGCGGCAGGAGATAGGGCTCTCCAAGCACTGCAGTCAGTGTGCCCACCCTTGAGGTTAGGGACTCAGTGGGGCAGGATATCATAGAGGAAACTACTTATGATTTCTCTAGAGGAATTTATAAGCATCGTAAATATAGTTCTGTTTTTAGAGATTCTCATCTAAAACTTTGAGTTTGTTAATTTAGAATTTTAAAAGCATTCCTAGCCTGACTCACAAATTGAGGCCACAGAAGCCTGAAGTCACAGTTCAGAGGAACATAGGAGTGCTTACCTGGAATCTGGGTTTGGGCCTCAAATTATATGACTCAGAAGAGGAAGGAAGGAATGGAGAGCGAGAAGAGTTTCTTTATTAATTTAACTAATATTTACTGAGTCCCTGTTGATGTTTTATTATTAACAATAATAAAGTAACTGCTGCTATTTACTAAGTGCTTCCTATAAGACCAGGTAGTTTAGTAGGTGATTTACATATATTCTCCTATTTACTTATCACGTCCACCCATTCTTGGAACAAGAAATTAAACATTGATGTAAGCGACTGACATCAGACCACACGTGACAAACAGCCAAGCTGGGCTGCAGTGCAGCTCAGGTGACCCAGCTGCCTTTTACCCTAGGGGCAGGACACCACAGTTCGTGGGGCTCCTGCGCCTTCCTGGGGAGGAGCCAGGCTCAGGCACGGTTGTGCAATGCCAGTCGTCTCTCCCCACCTGCGGCCTCAGTGCTGTGGAGGACCCTGTGGCAGCGCCCCCTTCTGGCAGGTCTAACCCTGCAAAGCGCTCTTTGCTCCAAAGGTCTTCGCTCCCCTTCCCTTCGTCCTGTTTCCTGGGGATAGCAGAGCTCAGGCGTGCTTTTCAGAGGAAAGCAGATAATGAAACTTCTTTTTGCTAACATGTGAAGGGCCTTACTGCCCTTAATAATCTCTCCAGGGTACCCCATGTTTCCACATTTAAAGAAAAGGGGGAGATCCTAATGCCACAAAAGGCTTTCTAACCTTAAGCACTTAAAAAAAAAATTGTATGAGAGAACTTTTAAAAATAGAGACTCTTGACTCTGAACCTGACAGGGTCAACTTTACCCCGCCAGACCCCAAGCAGTGCCTGTATTTCTCAGATGCGTTTTTTTCTCCCTGTACTCTTAAAGTGCCTCTTAAAAGTTTTTATTTCCAAGGGAAGTAGGGCATCATGTGGGTAGAGGTGGTGGGAAGACAGGTTTAGCTATTTGTGGGTATGATTTATTAATAGTGGGGGCTCTGTCTATGGTTGATTTGTGTTCAGATTGGTTTATAATGTTTGACCAAAGAAATACTTTGGTTATTCCTCTGAGGGGGAGAGCACAGGACTAGGATTGACACTGTATTCTAACCAGGTGGATAGCTCTTAGTTTTGTTTGTACTCAGTGGGGCAGGATATCATAGAGGAAACTACTTATGATTTCTCTAGAGGAATTTATAAGCATCGTAAATATAGTTCTGTTTTTAGAGATTCTCATCTAAAACTTTGAGTTTGTTAATTTAGAATTTTAAAAGCATTCCTAGCCTGACTCACAAATTGAGGCCACAGAAGCCTGAAGTCACAGTTCAGAGGAACATAGGAGTGCTTACCTGGAATCTGGGTTTGGGCCTCAAATTATATGACTCAGAAGAGGAAGGAAGGAATGGAGAGCGAGAAGAGTTTCTTTATTAATTTAACTAATATTTACTGAGTCCCTGTTGATGTTTTATTATTAACAATAATAAAGTAACTGCTGCTATTTACTAAGTGCTTCCTATAAGACCAGGTAGTTTAGTAGGTGATTTACATATATTCTCCTATTTACTTATCACGTCCACCCATTCTTGGAACAAGAAATTAAACATTGATGTAAGCGACTGACATCAGACCACACGTGACAAACAGCCAAGCTGGGCTGCAGTGCAGCTCAGGTGACCCAGCTGCCTTTTACCCTAGGGGCAGGACACCACAGTTCGTGGGGCTCCTGCGCCTTCCTGGGGAGGAGCCAGGCTCAGGCACGGTTGTGCAATGCCAGTCGTCTCTCCCCACCTGCGGCCTCAGTGCTGTGGAGGACCCTGTGGCAGCGCCCCCTTCTGGCAGGTCTAACCCTGCAAAGCGCTCTTTGCTCCAAAGGTCTTCGCTCCCCTTCCCTTCGTCCTGTTTCCTGGGGATAGCAGAGCTCAGGCGTGCTTTTCAGAGGAAAGCAGATAATGAAACTTCTTTTTGCTAACATGTGAAGGGCCTTACTGCCCTTAATAATCTCTCCAGGGTACCCCATGTTTCCACATTTAAAGAAAAGGGGGAGATCCTAATGCCACAAAAGGCTTTCTAACCTTAAGCACTTAAAAAAAAAATTGTATGAGAGAACTTTTAAAAATAGAGACTCTTGACTCTGAACCTGACAGGGTCAACTTTACCCCGCCAGACCCCAAGCAGTGCCTGTATTTCTCAGATGCGTTTTTTTCTCCCTGTACTCTTAAAGTGCCTCTTAAAAGTTTTTATTTCCAAGGGAAGTAGGGCATCATGTGGGTAGAGGTGGTGGGAAGACAGGTTTAGCTATTTGTGGGTATGATTTATTAATAGTGGGGGCTCTGTCTATGGTTGATTTGTGTTCAGATTGGTTTATAATGTTTGACCAAAGAAATACTTTGGTTATTCCTCTGAGGGGGAGAGCACAGGACTAGGATTGACACTGTATTCTAACCAGGTGGATAGCTCTTAGTTTTGTTTGTGAATAACTTTCTCTAATCTGGTTTTATTGTTTGTTCGATTTTTTTTTTTAGGCACCGATTGACAATGGTTCAAAAATCACCAACTACCTTTTAGAATGGGATGAGGTGAGCATATTTTCATATTCATCCATCTGAAACACCAGTTCAAAAACAAAATGGCTGAACAAATACCATTTTATTCTCTTTTAAGCTGTGCTAAACACACGGATAAAAGAATGTAAGTAGAGAAAAATTTAAACCAATAGTTATTGACTGTGGGAAATGAATATGAGCTGAAGTAGTATATGTAAGTTACACATTAAAATATAATTACTCAGCTTATTTGAAAAAAAAAAAATACTCCTGAAAGAAAAGACAGACTCTTAATCTATTTTGGAGTCCCTAGCATCTAGCTAGCCATTAATTAGTCTTAAGAATTGACTGCTTTGTCATGTTGACGGCCCAGGGTCAGGCCGGGTAGATGGGTTTTGATAAGGTAAACCACACGGAGGTTTGCACAGCATGCGTGTTCCTTCCTTTTGAGTCTGTGAGTGTGCTTAGGCGTTGCGCTGTTGGGTGATGTCTGTAGGCTAGTGCAGCAGGGCCTGGAGGTCTTCCTCATCTTCGTATGAGCACCCTGTGGGTCAGACAGCCTGTAGCAGGTGTTCCCTTTGCTGTGCTGCTCCAGAGGCCCTGGGATGGTGTCCATGGTGAGGTCTGCTTATTCTTGAGGCCAGCCACTCTGTGCTGAGTGGTGACCCGGCACATTTCTGGCCTTACACACAGACTCTCAGGCAGGAAACGCGGAATGCAGAAGCCTTACTTTTTGTAAAAAGCAACTGTGCTTTTTGTTCCTGGAAATCTTAATTCTATTCATTCATTTACCCTGGCGTTTTTCTTTCTGTGATTGAGTAAACAGACTAAGGACTTTAAGAATAGGAAATGGAAAATATGGGGGAGAAATACGAGTTAAATGGTCTTTTGTGGCTTAAATTTAGGGGGATTTGAAGATTTCAAAACACAAGTTTTGAAAAAATATTTTAACCAAATGTAGAATGAAATTGGGTGAAATTCTCATGATGAAATTTTGATGTGAAAAAGGGGCCCTTCATCACTTTCTGCAGGAGCATATTTTCCCATCTGGGTTGCATATGAACAGTTAAGATTTCCAAGTTACCAAAGACAACGATCTGTTGTTCTTAGGATCCTTGTGAATGGTTTCTATGTACAGATTGGTGAAATCTCAGACTTAACCAGTATATTTTACAGATAAGGTAGATTTTATCTTAGGGTGGTTTGATTAGAAAGTGAAACCACCCCTGTGACCCCTGGGGAAAGAGATTTTTATAGACAGTCAAGAAATTTGGAAGGGAACCTAGCTGACCTGTGGGCACATAATAACATCTTCCCATCTCCTCATCCTGTCGTAATGATGAGTGAGAGTTGAATGAGAATCTGTTTGTAAATGTTTTGGGTTGTTGCACTACCTGATGCTTTTCCTTATATCTGAGGATTTATATCAAGATAGAGTTTATCAGTAAAGAGGAGGCTTTTGTTCATTTCAGCTATACTCTCAGGGCGCAAAGAGAGTGTGTGTGCATGTGCGTGTGAGTGTGTATTTTTGCTGCTTCTCTGCCTTGGACGGTGGCCTCCTAAGTTAAATAAGGTCAGAGAAGTTGAGTACTTGAGTGGGAAACCTCCAAGGAAAAGCCAGGTGCTGCAGGAAATGACAACAGTGACTCAGTTGTTGGCCGCCTTCCCTTCGAGTTTGAATTGAAAGCGTCCAGCCTGCTGCTGGCAGGAAATACACCACAGCCTCACATGCAGCAGAGAAGCTGTGCCTGATGAGCACTTACCATCAAGAGGACCCCTATAGACAAACAATCACAAATGTAAAATTGTCTGTTTCTGGCCTTCCCTGCCTTTCATTCCCTGCTTGGTCTCCTTTCCTCTTTACCTTGTTCCTTTTAATCCTTCTGCCTTTCCCTTTCTCTTTCTTTTCTCTTCCACCTTCTAATTCCTGCTGGCGTTGGCTCTGTTGAACTATGGGCCTTTTGCCAACTTAGGAATCCTTCCATGGTCTGTGGCTTACTGTTCACCTCCTAGAAAACTTCTGGACCCCAAACTCTGAGAAGTGCTCCCTGGTCTTTAGGTACAGTGAGTGAGCTCTGTGGAGCAGAGGAGAGTTGAAAGAACACCAAAATTAGGATACGTGGGTTCTGTTCCAGGTTTTATAGGGACAGCTTGGCCTCTCAGGTCCTCAGTTTGCCCATCTGCTTGCATACATTTACATCATGATGCTGTCGCACAGCTGATTATTTAGGATTGTCCCTTCAGATGCGAATATTTTAGGATCCTTTTCACCATTGCTTGCCCTGTTCATTAATTAATTATTTAAGCTTTTATGGAGCATACCCCTCAGTGCCTCAGCACTGCTGTCCCCTGAAGGATCTGTGACATAGGAAAGATAATGTCCTTATACTGATAGCTGGGGAAACAAGAGTAATTCTCTCCTCTTGCACTTTTGCACAGACATAAATATAACAAACAAGTGATATGCTTCTCAAATTTTTCCACTTAGTAGCGTCTTTGCTTATGTTATACCTCCCTGCTTTCCATCCCCTTAAAAAGATTAAAAAATGGTGCCATGGGGCTTTCTGGCAATGAGAGTACAAGCAACAGTAACCAGCTCATTGCTGCCCACTCTGTCATTTCAGAAGTCAAGTTTCTGATACAACAGTTGGCAGTCTGTGGTTCTAAACTTGGAGCTGGGTGGGGGTATCGGCAGCCCTGGTGGGGGCAGCTCACGTGGGTTGGTTTTCTCATCCTGCATTCCCATGCTTACTCAGGCTTTGGCTTCAAGGAAGAAAAGTCAAATGCACAGAGAAGAACAACATCTGACCTGCAGGAAGTGTGAGCATGTGAGGCTCTGGCCATCTTTCTGAAATGATCCACTGGTAGTTTCTGGAGCCAGGTGCACCTGGTCTCAAGGACCATTTCCAGACAACACCAGTGGAGTGTGGGGAGCAGGAGACTGGCAGATGGGAGACAGGAGAATGAGCAGGGGCATTTTGTAGTCATCCCCTACACACCCAGTCCTCTCCATAGCCAGAGCTCTCCTCTCATAAGACATCTGTCCCAACAGCCATACACCCAGTCTCTGTCATTCAGGGGGCCATAGAAACAAACAGAAGGCTGAAAGGTACAGTGAATGGAGGAGGGAGATGGGTACCAACTCAGAGTCCCAAAGAAGGTTGTGTTCAGAAATAGCACCCTGCCTCGTTTCTGGTCTGACACCTGGTCTGAGAATCACAGCTTGGGGTGAGATGGCCCCATCTGTGTATATGCTACGAATATCATATTGTTATGATAGTATAACAGCACTTTTTTGAGTACCCAGGATACTTTATTCTTCTAATTTTTAATCACCATTCTAGTAACACAATTACATACTGTAAAATTTTGAAAGGGCTGGTAAAATAAATGAATGGGCAGTGAAGCATTTTAGAAGAAGACCATCATGAATGAGATAGCAGTAAGAGAGAGACCAGTGAGAACCTGGCCTTTATTTCTTCTAGGACAGGGAATGCTATGCTGAGTTGGCCTTGGAAAGAGTCCCTTTAATCAGTAGCTAACTGCTTGCAGGTCTCTGAAGGCAGGTGTGGCCCTAATGGGTCTCCTAAACTCATTGTTGTTAATGTTACATTCCTGTTACATAGAATTCACTTGGAAATTATTCTGTAATAGTTCTGCAAGAGGACTAAATGTCCACTTTTCTCCATTAATAATTGTAACTAGACAGTCCCTTAATTTTTAAATCAACGTGGGGTGTCACTGACTGAGAGTAATGAGCAACTAAAAATGGAGCACACAGGTGTCACTGGCTTTTCAGCTCTGGCCATCAGTTTTGATTTTCTCCTGAAACAGCTCAGTTTCGTACCTTGGAAGGATGTGGCTTCTCCTGGCCAGGGGCCCTTGGTGTGGTGACTCAGCTGAATTGTAGCATTTAGAGCGTTGGGGCCAGAGAACTGGCCCTGCACGTTCGTAGATCTTCAGCAGGGCATCCTCCTCCAGGAGACTCCGTGGCAGAGAAGCAGAGGGCCATTTTCACGGCAGTTTTTTATTTGACTGTTGGATGAGTCATCATTACACTTTTAATGCCTTCTGATGGTTGTGTGCCCCTGCCCCCCATGTTTACATTCTAATATATACAACAGACAGAAAGCTGGCAGGAGCAGGTCCAAAGCCTCGCGAGGGTGTCTTTTTTTTTTTTAATTATTATTTTTTTATTTTGGTATCATTAATCTACAATTACATGAAGAACATTATGTTTACTAGACTCCCCCCATCACCAAGTCCCCCCCATATACCCCATTACAGTCACTGTCCATCAGCATAGTAAGATGCTGTAGAATCACTACTTGTCTTCTCTGTGTTGCACAGCCCTCCCCGTGCTCCACACACACACTATACATGCTAATCTTAATGCCCCCTTTCTTTTTCCCCGCCCTTGTCCCTCCGTTCCCACCCAGCCTCCCCAGTGAGGGTGTCTTTCTTAAGCTAGATTTGCATATTATGACTAGTGCTGACTTAAAAAAGGAAAAAACCTTCCTCTTCTATGAATTGAGTTTTTAGTTTAATCCAGAATCATGAAAAGGAGAAAAGTTTATTTCTAACAGCAAAAAATGCTTCAATGCTTGATTTCTCAAGGTGGAGGTTCTTTTCCACAGTGGAGAGGAATTAGACCTCAGGTAGGTGGAAGAGGGCCCAAATCTCCTATGTCACCAAGATGGTCCCATGGACCTGCTCTTACCCCTTCCTAGGGCACCTTCTGTGCTAAATTGGCTCCTGCTCTTACTTCTGTGGCTGATGGCACAGAGGTATCTAGAGGTGAAAGTTTTTCTCTAGAAGAAGCGAAGAGGAAAGGATTGAGGATGTAGAGGCCTCTGGGATAGGAAAGGGTTTTCACCTCCCTAAAAAAAAAAAAATTAGGAACCTTTGGATTGAGTTTCACATAAATGCTCATCTAGGCTGTTTTAAGGGATGGTGATAGGGCCTTTTCATTGAAAACGTGAGTGAAAGAGCAAACTTCACAATCAAATAGGGACTTCCTTTTACATTTTAGG